CAAAAGAATAACAAAACGGATCGTGATTCACCACCGGATGATTTTTTTCTTATCGCCATCAATCACCTATGGTAAACTCTGGGAGCATAGTAATATTTTCCAATGATACTTGATTACCGTCTACGAACAGACAAAGCAGTTATCAAGTTCTTATATTCAAATGATGCAGAAGCAAAAGTAAGAAGTCACGACTAAGGTTTAAAATAAAAAATAATTTATAATTCACATTAAGATGATCCTATATCATGGACTTTAATATTAATTATTATTTCAGAAAAAGTCTTGTATATATGATACTCCAAGCCGGAATTCCAAACGCATGCATTCGGTTTTCCAAATAACTACCATGACTGCCCGCGCTCCGAGTTTTTCAATGTATATGCACATTCACCATCTTTACAAAATACGATTTAGCATCTAACGACTCGCTGATGATTAAATTAGATTAGCATAAAAACTGAACTGACGCTCATCATTTGTCTGGTGATCATAGTGATTATTGACTAAAGTCTCGTATTTGAAGAGCATTGTTTCTACTCGATTTTCTTCATAAAATCGTTTCTTGGCTGCCCCTTAACATGAACCAAGATACGTATATTATCAAGAGGTAACCTCAAATTCGTTTGATCGATATTATAAACAAATCACAGAACATGTTCATTTCGCTCCAGACAAGGTTCTTTTAGGTGTTTTGGATCATCATGTACCAAAAAGTAATCGTCTTTGAGTTATAAGCGATTTAAGTTCTGAAAAATGCTTGAAAACTCGAATAACATCATTATTTTTAAGTACCTCCCCTACAAGACCCTGAAGACCATTTTGGGCTCAGTTTATTTAAAATATATTAAATTGGTAATACCACGCTATGTGCGACGCGCGCATGCCTGTAGCGTACGGAATATTCCATATTTTAACGAAAACATCGTTTTACTGTCTAATTTATTAATTCATACACGAATTTATAACACTTCCACGTTGTTTGAGTATCTCGATTGTGTCTGACTGCTTCCACCATCTGGACGAGTATTTATCATTATATATTTATTAAATATTCCATCAATTTCGCGAACTTCCATCAAAGTGATCTAGATGGCAGCAGATTCTTCCAGATGGGTCTCGATTATTCTTAAATCTGCATGCGCTCACACATGGTCGCGTAAACTTTTAACCGGGTTTTTAAGCATAGAAAATGGACATTTTTGAGTTTTTCAGACTTCAAGTTGCTTATATCGGAAATATCCAAAAAATCATTTTTCCGGAGCGAGAAAACCAATGTTTTGTAACTTGTTTACAAAAATTGTTGAAACAAATTTGCAACGAGTGATCGCTCGATAACCTCTTGGTTTATGTTAAGGGGCATCCACCAGACGTGATTATGGAAGAAAATCGAATCGGAATTTTTTCTCACACATACGAGGTTTTCGCTCCAACTTTTAGCAGCCGTACGCTTATCCCATGATGCTATTACCAACAGCTGTTTTCGTTACCTGTCCCCACAAACACCGACAATATCGTTTCGCACTCATTAGAACTCGTTATTACGACGTAGGTCTAGGGTGAAGGACACAAGCAGTGACAGGTAATATGTGACAGATACCACCTACCTATTATTGTCATTCTGATACAATGATTTCTGCGTGACTTTGTTTCAGCAGAGCTTTCAAGTTTGTACCTATAGTGCATAATTATTGACCAGAAGAATCTGATATCATTAATAAGTAGTCATTTAGAGGTGTTTTTTCAAATACAATCTATGTAGACCAATCCCCCAAAAAGTATCGGTTTTGTGAAATCTCACGGTTTAGGTGGCTAGATGTCATGGGATTGAATTTCAAGCATCAAATAGTGTGATATCATAGTGCGATAATAATCGCCAGGTACCACTCGAAATATTAGAACGCGTCATTGAAAATTGGAATTACAGAATAGGCCATATTGACCGCAGCAACAGCCAAATTTCTAAAGAAATAATCTTCAAAAACCAAATATGAAGATTGGTTGTTTACTTCGTTATTCAAGAAAACCCCATAAAGTTAATAATCGTATTTTTACTTCCTACGCCATGAACTCAGGCTACTTGAGAAGTATCGCTCGGATTTTGATGAAATTTTCATACAAGGTTCTTCTATGCCAAGGATGATAAAGCTTTGTAGTGATTAAAAATCGATTTAGTGGCGGTGGAGTGGGGGAGCGAAAAAACAAAGAAGAAAAATCGCTCAAACTGCGTTTTTTGACGTTTTCAGTCTCCTGATCATTTTCAAAAAAAAATTGTAAGGGTTGAAAATTGGTGATTAGGGTTTGTATTGGGTAGGAGGTTGAAAAGTTATATCTTTGGTATCAGTCAAAGCTTTTCTTTCATTAACAGTACGTACCACTTTAGCTTTGTAAATGATGACTTAATTGTTTTTATATCTACACATATAACATACTTTTCTGAATTTTATGATCCTTCAATGTACCCACCCATTCGCCTAACTTTTAAGTTTTGTTACCCAGTATATAATGGTTCTCTGAATATTTTGTCAAGTAGACTGAATCAGTACTTATTATGAATTGATATACAACGGACCCGGACTGACAAACCGAGATAAGTGAGAAACACGACCTTGTGTGATACAGATATCTTTGAGCAACAAAAGACTTGCGAACTCATATTCGAATATTATCGAGAAATCAATACTTCTATCGCGTAGGTAGTCGCAGATTTTGAAAATTGATTCAGTGGCGGCAGACAAAACAAATAAAAATCGCTGGACCATAGTGCTACAACGCCTCAGAGATTCTTGCTCGTTTTCAGACATTGTTTGGAGGGTTTGAATATTGTAGGTTGGAAACTGTATGCGATAAATGATTGTAAAGTGTGGTATGTTTGGTGTCACTGAAAAAACATATATTATTAAGAATTTGCTGATCCTGGTAATATTTTGCACCTGTTAGACACAAGTCTCACAGGTTTTCCCTACATCTGCCATGGCAACTGAAAAATGATTTTATGCAGCGTGTAAAGGTTATGATAGTCACTATTTAAATGGGTGATAGAGGGGGTTAAAGGAAGCAAAAAGTTTCACATAACATAGGGGTCAAAACGGCATTTCTTTAGACAAAAGCGACTTAAGTAAAATAAAATCTGACAATGCCGCAATGCCAGTCGCAAATTACGACGGAATGCAATGTAAATAAAGAAGGAGTTTGTTATTTTGGGCTCTTAGGTATTATTTCGTTATTTGATAATGTACTCGTAAAATGCAAACAATAAAAAAATGGACTTGCCACTAACTGTCTCAGCGCTTCACCTGGTGTGTGAAAGTTTATTGAACGGATTACAAAAATCCACTTATAAATAGGGAACACAATTTTGATACTTACATTGTTTTTCTTTTTAAAACCCATGGTGCACTTTTTTTGTATTTAAAGAAGGTGTTCAAAATGTCGTCCTCCGCTTTCAACACAATCTTCATTACAATGAACCCAGTTTCTTCTTACTCTAGGTCCTCTAAGTTGTCCATTTATTATTTCAGCCGCATTAAATTTTTTTTTCGCGAAGTTGTGCTTCAGTTGTTCTTGGACCAGCCCCATAAACGATCCCTTTAAATACTGAATGACGCGTCTAAAAATGTGTGGTGGTGTCCCGTCATGAAGAAACCACAAATTCTGTCTCCGTTGTAATGCCATGTTGTCCAAGGTCTGTTCCAAAAGTTCTGGTAGGTTATTGGCTAGAAAGCTAAGGTATCCTTCTCCTGACAACTTTGGGGGGAACTTGAAAGGGCCAATTACCTGATCGTCAAGAATACCTAACCAAATATTTGTTTTAAAACGTTGTTGGAAATGACCTTCACGAACGGTATGAGGATTTTCTTGCGCCCACGTGTGAGTGTTATAGAAATTTAATATCCCGTCTCGCGTAAAAGTGCATCCGTCCGTCGCTAGAATGTTTTTAAAAAAATCCGGATTTTCAATGTTTTTGTGCAAAAGCCACTGACAGAATGTTAGTATGCGAGGATAGTATTCTGGTAACAGGGCCTGCATTCGTTGTACATGGTAGGGATAAAGCAAATTTTCCCGTAGGATTCTATGGACTATGGTATGCGGCGACCTAATTCCCGAGTGCTGATGCCTGCATTGATTTCCTCGATATTTAAAATTTGTTCCCCCTGCTCTACAGTAACCTATCTTTCACGAGTGCGAATATTAGTGGGCTGAACACTTCCTGTATCTCGAAGTCTTTGGTACACTTGCACAAATGTCCTTCTGTCTGGGTGTACCCGTTGGCGAAATCTGTCGCGATAAATTTGAGCTGCAAGATTTGAATTCTGACGAGCTTCACCGTAAACTAACAACATGTCGGCGAACTCTTGATTCCAGAACATTGTAAATAAACACGACGACGTACGCGAACAATAACTAACCACTGTTACCGTTTGCGATTGATTGCCGGTTCGATACGAGTGATGAAAGGCCGACGCGGTGCTGTCATGTGTGTTTTAAATATTTAATTTAATGAAACTTACTTACTGACTACAAATTTTGGCTCAACTTAGAAAAATTTAATTCCATTTATTTATTAATTACCTACTTTAAAAACGTTTTCAATTAAATTATAAAAATTAGTAAGGTTGTGGTGATTGTGGTCGTTATAAAGCACTTAAAGTTGTAAACTATAAAGCCATTTAGACAAAAATCTATTGACTTTTGGACAATGGGTCATATGAACTTTTTGACTTGTTTTGACCCCCCCTATTACCCATTTCAATAATGACTACCATAGCGTTTACACCCTGTATAGTTTGAAATGTAGAATCCACCTAATCACGATTCGATTCCGCCTTTTGAAAGGACTTGACTCATCCCTTTTCCTTGAAACCCTCAACAAAGGCGTAGGAAGCAAATAGTCAATCTTCTTGACACCATTTTTTCTTTAAAAGGTACCTATGAGTCACGCGTTAATATAAAAAAAGATTGTTGACAGAAACGTTTCAAGTTTCTGTTTTCTTTTGTTTCAGGCGACAGTGAAGACTGAACCATCTGCAGTAGAAAAGCGACCCCACAAACCTCAACGCCCCTCACCACCAGTTAAGAAGTCCAAATCGGGCAGCGCCAGTCCCACCGAGTTCTCTCCAAGCAGCTTCGGAGGAGGTTCCGACTTCATCCACCCGGACGATATTCTACACCACTCTAATGGCAAGGTGTACATCAAGGTCAAGTGCAGACTGTGCAACTACAAGTCGGCCTGGGACTCGGAGATGGCCAAACATGAGAGAAAGGTGCACAACATCGACAGAGAGAACCACAAGTCGGTGATAAAGAAACCGCCTAGGCCTATTCCTAATCTTATACCCATACCGACTACTGTCGTTAAGCAGAATCAGAAGGTAAGGCTTAGTTACATTTCATTCATTCGCAAAACAGAAAATTAGGATGAATGGATAGTATGTCACAAATCATAGAATTTTTTAGCTCACGTAGAGAATTACACAAGGGCGCATGCGCATTACGCTTCAATCAGAGTCATAGACTGCCAAACTGTATCAAATACACTAGCATCAATCATACTGAGTTATTGTCAACATTATCCAATTTTTCAGAAAAACACCATAAGCAATAGTGGTTTAAATCCTAGATCGAACAGGTCTTAAATTAGGACCTCATCGACTTATCAATGTCTGGATATCTTTATGTTACAGACTCACAAGCAACCATACCGAGGATTCTAGATTAGTGAGCCTTTCTGTCCTAATAAGTGACCTGGTGTATTTTAAAAAGTCAGGAAATCTTTGATGACCAGGTGTGGCCTTCAAGGTGGTGAGCCTTGGAGTTATTTTGAACGGTTTTTAAGATTGAGAAGCGTCATATGTGATATTCGCTAAAATTCTATTCGTACTACGTATCAGACACAATACGATGTTTCGAAAATGGCCAAAACACATTAAAATGCCCTAGGCGATGGTAATCTGTCCGATGTTCATAGAATACGAAAGATAATACGAAATAGTACATTACATACCTAGTTTGAGAACTGGACCATGGTTTAGGCGCCAAAAGGTATACTGTGCGAGATCAATGACGGCGAGTTATAGGTATACAATATTATTTTCACAACTAACACTATATCATAAAATATTCGATTTTCCGCCACGATCGTGACGTATCCAACTCATTTTACAAATACTTTAAAGTATCTAGTAGTCTGGAGTCAAAGTGATAAACCCAGATTAATGAATGCAGCAGTCAGCTGATGTTATTTGGACTGGTCCATTCCAGATGATTAAAATAAAAAATGTTTTTTCAACTAAAAGCGACTTTCAAACATTATCTCGATACTCAAAATTGCCTAGTTCTCAATCGTTCTAAAATATTCCGAAAAATAAACTTCGCTTGACAAACTGACACAATGAAACTGACAGGATACAATTTCGAATTACAGTATTATTAACCTAAGTGTTATTTTTTTGTATTCGTTATGCATAAATGCTACTTCTCAATAAGGCATTGTTGTCAGTAATGGCGACTTTTGGATAAGTAGTGAAAAAAATGATCTAAGGGATCCCATAGGAAGAAAGAGATTCCTTCGGGCCGCATCGTCAGTCGTTCCTACAATTGTAGGATGCCTTTATGGCCTCCTTGATTTTCATAGTTTGTTACGCTTCCTATCTGTTATATAGCCTGAAATTTCCTACAATTCAAAGAGAAAACATAGCCTGACAATAGGAGAGCGCTGACGCTGACACGGAACAGTAGAAATATAGAAATATCCCGGCCTTTCTGAAGGAGAGGAAAGACTATGAAAATCAAGGAGGCCATGAAGGCGTCCTACAATTCTAGGAACGACTGACGATACGGCCCTAAAGGACTGAAAATCGTTTTTTCTTAAATATTCCTTGTCGACGAATTGGGGCCTCATATAATGATATCTACAGGGTGTTCCTTAATGATATGCGAATATTTAAGGGTGTGAATCTACATGAAAAATTAATGTTAGTTTGCTTTATAAACTATGGTCCAAAGATGTTTCCTTACAAAAACTCGGGGTGTTGAAGTTTTAGGAAAAAAATGCAAATTAATTCATATTTTCAGAACAGCTCCAGATATTTCACAGATATTTAGTACGAAGTAAAAGTTAATAAAGTTGCATATTTTTCAATGCAAACATAATTTTTAGCTTTAATAGTGGCATGCGTACGAGTATTGGCTTCGATATTTTTTAAGAAAAAAATGTTACGCCAATGGTTTTTTGCCAAGTAAAAATTATTTTTTAATTCCCTGTTCAATTTAAACCAAATGATCTCTCTTGAATTGTTTTCATTCGATGGGTCATTTTTGAGTGAAAAAATAAAAACCGTTCTATTGTCGGAGAAAATTAATGTAATAATTGAAGAATGCAATTTAGCAGTAAATATCTAGTTGCTCTGGAATTTGTCACTGGCTTTTGACATCTGACAAGTCTCTGTTATTCAAATCTGTTCGCTGTGACATCTTTTTCGTTGTTTAGTTTTTACAATCTTGTTAATAATGGTGAATTATTCACATGCAGAAATAGCGGAAATGCATTACGTATATAGCCTTGCCGACGGAAATGATGAGCAAGCCAGACGGATTTATCACCAGAGATATCCCGATCGTGCTTTGCCAGATAGTCGAACCTTTTCTAATATTCATCGTCGTCTTGCTGAAACTGGTTCTGTCCGAAAAAGAACATCTGAAGGTAGACCTCTAAGTGTGAGAACACCTGACATTGAGGAAGCAGTGCTGCACGAAGTCGAAGAACATATTTACATATTTTAAGAGTACAGGCATTACTTCCCATTGATTTTCCAAGGCGTGTGACCTTCTCTCAGTGGTAACTTCAAAATACTACACAAAATCCGCAATTTGAATCAATGATTCATTTGGGCAGGAATTATTGCCAACCACTTTATTCGCCCATTCTTCTTGCCGGGACGACTTGACGGATAGACTTACCTCAATTTTCTTCAACACCAGTTGCCTTTGTTGCTTGATGATGAGCCCCAAGAATGGCCACCAAGGTCCCCAGACCTCAACAGTTTAGATTTCTTTTTGTGGGGATATCTTAAGACACTAGTGTACACAAGTCCCATTAAGACTGTAGATGAATTAAGAGAAAGAATAGTTGCAGCTTGATATAGAATAAAAAAGACTCCAGGGGTGTTTCAACGAGTGCGCAATTTCATGAGAAGGAGGGCGGAAGCATGCATACTAAGTGTAGGGGGTCATTTTCAACAATTGTTGTAATCATTTCGGTTTTAATGTTATGTTTATGTAGTCAGTTGTTGTTGTTCATTACCCCTAATGTGTTTACTTTTTCCAATTAAATTAATAATAATTTTAATTTTAATAAAAGTTAGACAATAGAACGGTTTTTATTATTTTACTCAAAAATGGCGCATCGTAGGAAAACAATTCGAGACAGATTATTTCTTTTGAATTGAACGGGGAATTCAAAAATAATTTTTATTTGGCAAAAAACCATTTGGCGTACCATTTTTTTCTTAAAAAATATCGAAGTCAATACCCGTACGCACGCCACTGTTAAAGCTAAAAATTATTTTTGAATTGAAAAATATGCAACTTTATTAACTTTCACTACGTACTAAATATCAGTGAAATATCTGAAGCGGTTCTGAAAATATTGATTAATTTCCATTTTTTTGTGGCGACGTTTCGGCCATCACGGTGTCCTTTTTCAATTACAGTTGAAAATTCTGATGACGATATATTTTTTATTCGTTCAGGTTGACACTTCGTTTTTCTTTCATTTTCACATTCGTATATATTGCTACTTTTCACCCCTTGTGTAACAATGACTCATTGATGACATTTTTGAAATACCTGATTCCTAAGCTGGAAAAAATGTACTCTTGTTTTACAGTGATGAAAACACACCTGTTTCAATACAGTTCAAATAGTTCGGGTACTGGAACCAGAATGATGATTTCGCGTTATTGAAAATGTAGTATTTCTTATTACAGATTTATGATTAGCCACCTGTAATACTCCAGGATGTGAATTTTCAAATCACTTTGTCAACTCTTCTACTGGTGGTCTGAATAGATTAATTGTGTGCCATGGTCAGCACCCTGTCAGATGCCCCAAATAATTACTATGCTAATTCAGTTGAAATATACAGTGTTGTTCAGGGTTATTTAGGAAATATCGATTCCCAGATTTCCATATGGGAGCTCAGTAGGGCTTTTTGATATAATATGAACTTGCGCTAGTATTTTACTTCCCATGCGTACTGGAGTATTGTAATCGCGAAAATTTTAGAAAATGAGATTTGATGTTTTTGGATGTTATATGTATATTTGGCCAATATATGTCTTAACAATATTGTACTTCTGCCACCTATTGATTATGCTGTCTCTTGTGGCAACATTTAACTGTAATATTGTGTTCACAAACGCAACTACAGGTAAATCTTGTGCCAATATTCTACAATCAATATAGCAAAATAACATGTTAAAACAATATATGCTAAAAGAGAAAACCAAATGTTGTATTTTCCATAGTTTATCCAATATAGGGCAGATATTGTTGTTTGGTTGGAATGCTAGCGCTAATATATGTACATATGTATTGTCTAACAAATAACCACGGATCCCCAACAAATTGAATTACATTTATTGCAGACGGAACCGCCCGAGTACCCTATACTTAAAACCGTCGAGATACCTGAACCCAGTGAACCCACCATGAGCCAGAAGGACATCAACGACATCTGCGCTAAGTCCACAAACAGCGTTTTGAAAGACTTCGCGTCGCTTTTCGGCTCCGAAGACGTCTTCAATACGTTCGCGCCTCCCAGAGTACCTGATCTCATCCCATACCCCGCCGGCATGCAGTCGTCTAAGGGCAAACTGACAGATGTGTTCAAGCAGAAGAACGCCTCGTTCTTTGATAGCCTTAGAGAAAAACTGGAACTAGGCAGTAGTTGCAACTTGACCTGCGGCAACTGTGGCCACGAGAGCAAGTGCCTCACAGAGCACGCTAAGCACCAGAAAAGTTGTGGGAAAGAGGCTGGTAGGAGACCCAACGTGGTGCCATTACATAACATTAGTTCTTCTAGATGTCAGTTCTGTAGACAGAGGTGTAAGAGTAGTACAGATTTGTATAATCACCTGCAGATATGCACTGAGGCGATGAAGTCGCAGAATTTGATACCCAAGGATGAGGATGATTCGGAGCATGAGTTGAAAATTGATGAAGATAATGAGCAGCTTAATGAAGTGAGTCTGATTTTTCATTAATTGATAGTTATTATTTATTTTGTACTTTTCACGTAGAAATAGTATTCCGACTGAATGATGGAAATCCTTTGGTGCATGAGGATTTAAATCCACGACCTGTATCGGTCATATACGAAGGTTTGCATAGGTGCTACACTACAAAAAATTCTATATCATTCTAAGTCCAATTAGAGCATTTTTCTCGAATTCAAAAACGTTCTTGAACAGAATAAACTATATTTAATTAACCAATAATGGGTGCAAAGAACATAAAACTTTTCGAAAAATGCATTCTAAAAATTTAAATAACCATTCAAAGTTGCTTAAAATTACCACAATTCAAAAATTGTTTTTTGTCATTTTCAACAAAGAACACCAAATTATACGTAGTAAAACTTACAATACCAGAAATCTATCGGATTGAGGTCAGGAAATCTTGCTGGCCATTTTTGAGGATCAGAAGCATTTCGACCGATCCAGCGATTTGGATAATGTTCATTCAAATACTGAATGACGCCTCTAAAAATGTGCGATGGTGCCCCGTCATGAAGAAACCACAAATTCTGTTTCCGTTGTAATGGCATGTTGTCTAAGGTCTGTTCCAAAAGTTCTGGTAGGTTATTGGCTAGAAAGCTAAAGTATCCTTCTCCTGACAACTTTGGGGGTAACTCGAGAGGGCCAATTACCTGATCGTCAAGTATACCCGCCCAAATATTTATTTTAAAACGTTGCTGGAAATAACCTTCACGAACGGTATGAGGATTTTCTTGGGCCCACGTGTGAGTATTATGGAAATTTAATATCCCGTCTCGCGTAAAACTACATTCGTCCGTCGCTTGAATGTTTTTAAAAAAATCCGGATTTTCAATGTTTTTGTGCAAAAACCACTGACAGACTGTTAGTCTGCGAGGATAGTCTTCTGGTAACAAGGCCTGCACTCGTTGTACATGGTAGGGATAAAGCAAATTTTCCCGTAGGATTCTATGGACTATGGTATACGATAGTCCTACGCGGCGGCCTAGTTCCCGAGTGCTGATATCTGCATTGATTTACACGATATTTAAAATTTGTTCCTCCTGCTCTACAGTAACATGTCTTTCACGAGTGCGAATATTAGTGGGCTGAGCACTTCCTGTATCTCGAAGTCTTTGGTACACTTGCACAAATGTCCTTCTGTCTTGAGCTGCAAAGTTTGAATTCTGACGAGCTTCACCGTAAACTAACAACATGTCGGCGAACTCTTGATTCCAGAACATTCTAAATAAACACGACGACGTACGCGAACAATAACTAACCATTGTTACCGTTTGCGATCGATTGCCGGTTCGATAAGAGTGATGATGACCCACGCGCTGTTGTCATGTGTGTTTTAAATATTCAATTTATTGAAACTTACTTACTGACTACAAATTTTGACTTAACTTAGAAAAACTTAATGCCATATATTTTTGTTGATTACCCAATTTAAAAACGTTTTAGATTAGATTATAAAAATTAGTAAGATTGTGGTGATTGTGGTCGATATAAAGCACTTAAAGTTGTAAACTATAATGCCATTTAGACAAAAATCTATTGACTTTTGGGACCATGGGTCATATGAACGTTTTGACTTGTTTTGAGCCCCCCTATTACCCATTTCAATAATGACTACCATAACGTTTACACCCTGTATACAGATATACAGATAACGTAATCTATAATAATAATTTTAGTGAAATAACAACTCAAAAAATGAACATATTTATTGCGTAGAAAGAACTGAGTCAATCTCCCCATCCCCACCTTTCAGTACTGTGAATTATGCTTTTTTTCAGGAACCTGAGATAAAGCCGCACCCAATGGAGAACAAAGTGTTCGTATGGAACGACATAATGGTACCGATGGACATCGAAGTGGATGACTCAATCTACGAGTACACCGAGGATAAAGTTGACGACAACGTCTCATTGGACCTGTCTACCAGGACCCAGTCGCCCATGGACAGCGAGAGCAGCTTCGTCGGGCAGGAGGTCAGTCAGCCGGTCAGCGGGGTGAGGCACTCTCCTCTGCCCACCAATGAGAAGATCCCAACGCATGGTAATGATATTTCAGTGGCGCAGCACAAGAGGGTCTTCAAATGTCCGCATTGCACCTTCTGGGCATCTACAGCCTCCAGGTATGTTATGATGGTCAAGTCAACGTCTAACGAGATGAGATAAGTCTCTTCTCTGTTGCTTATATCCGGAAAAAAATTAAGGGGTTTTAAAATAATATTGTGACGAATCATACTGTCGGCGCCATCTGTTGGGCGAGTCTCCTACTCGCTAGAGCTTCATGACCGATCTCTGCTTCTACGCGAATCACGACCGCACCAGCTAGATCGACGCGAAGGAACCTCGACAATTCGGGAATGCCGCTATGTGGCCCCCGATTCTTCTAGACTCAACGATGCGAACTATATACGAGTATAACTCGGCGGCCGGGAGATGGAGGCAGACTACCGAATACCTTGGAGTAGCCGGGCGAAGAGAAGTATAGTGCAGTCAATGGTGACATAAGAATTAGTCAGATATAAATAGTGGTGAATATAAATGTTTTATCCAGTTAAATAAATTAGTGCATTTCTTTTGTGGAATCCAGTGTTTTAATCCACACCCAAAAAGAACGCAGAAAAACGCTACAATATGATAAGTTGAGACTACTTTGCAAATGCAGTGTTTCACATAATATTTTCCTTTCTCCCGTGCGTTCCACAGTCTTGAGTTACGCTTGAAAACACACTTGACACTGTGATGTAGCAGAAATACAGAATATGAAAAAATATCTGTTTAAAATATCGAAATGAAATGTTGAAAAAATGAGTTATGGTACCCCAATGTTTCTATTTTTCATCTTACAACAACAATAAGTAAACGTTAAACAGTTATTTAAAACGCAATGTTTATGACAAGATATTTGATATTATGGTTATTAGGCGAAGGATCTAAATTTTCCAATAATTATCTTTCCGACTAGATCATTGGCTTCTGAATCGGTTTATAGCAACATCATTTTTACTCATCTTCCCGCAAGATTTTATCAAAAAGCCCCGCTCTAGTTCCGAATCTTCAATGCTGCTGGTCCTGATTAATAAACAATAAATATGTGAGGAAACTGGGTTGCGTTCGTAAATCACTTAGTAATGTGATACCGTACTCAGTAATGGAATGTGGATTGATAGATCAAATTTTACCCTGGAATATTTTGTATTTAGAACGCCTGAATATTATAAGAGCACTTGATGTCAGCCAACTTATTCTAACCTTGTTTTCTGCCACCCTTGTTTTTATTCTGCCTGCCAGTAATATGACACGATGCTCTTCCGTAAAATACACTAGTATATAAAAGTATAAAAGGCAATAAATATTATAATTATGTTACGTCGCTTATATTACCATATCTGTATCAACCTATTACATTTTCACAATTTAATTGTTGTTAACTCATGTATCGTGAAAAAAGTATGTTTTGCAATATTGGTGACCAAATAAAAATGTAAATAAACGGTGAAACATGAAAATTATAAGTGACAGCACTCTTTTTCCCAAAGTTTTGAACACGGTAAGAAAAGTGTTACAGAATGGCTACTTTGTTCTATTTACGAATGCTCCAAATAGTTACTTCAAACAATTACGAACGCTCAAGTTATTAAATTTTTATATGGAACTATCCCAGAACTGTTCTGACTCTGTACAATAGGATGTTGCGACTTCAGAGCCATATTGTGATTGCCTCTCAGTAGTTCATAACGGTTCTGAGTATCGATTTTCGAATTAATATAAAATTGTCGGGCAAGTGCAGCATTAATCAAATGTACTAAAATGTTTGTTTTTTTTTTCAGGTTCCACGTGCACATAGTAGGTCATCTAAACAAGAAGCCATTCGAATGCTCCTTGTGCGCGTACCGATCGAATTGGCGATGGGACATCACGAAACACATTAAACTGAAATCAGTCCGAGATCCTGCTCACGAATCAGCTAAAGTGCTGATGACGGATGAAACAGGCCGAAGAAACTATACCAAATACAACAAGTACCTGACAGAGATCCCTATCAGTAGCGAGCAGAGTATGGACACAAGCGGTAATTACCACTACTTTATGATAATAGGAATGTTCGACATTTTTCGTATTTCTCTTATTTTAATTAATATCGAGGCATTTTGTTATTAAAAAAGGGTCAAAGAAATTTGAGTGCAAAATAATAATATTTACGTCGACGGAAAGCATTTTAAAATCAAGGATCGACGCGAGGCTAGAAAATATACCTGTACGCAAGACTATACCGCGTGACGTCAGTAGCCAGACACGTGCTGTCGCCCTCATAGAGTACTTGTATCTTGTATTGTCTTGTATACGGAGTCAATAGTATACGAATAGGAATTTATATAAACTGGGACCGACGTTTGTGTACTTTATTTATTTGTGCTACCACAATGCTCCAAGGTTATCAGAAATTTACGCCATGTGAATGTGGAAATGGTGTACGAGTTTTTGGCAAATAATGCAAATTTAAATGAACCTCAGAGCAGCGGTATTAAAGTAGTTCGGTAAGTACCTATATGAAGCTTGTTTTTGTATTTCTCCGCAAAAATTGATACTGCTTTGCTTTAGTCTATTGAAAGCTAATAATATAAAGACATAATAATGCCTTCTCTTGACAATAATTTTGATTGCTATTTATCTCTGCTTTTTCTTCCTAGGTAAAATATGATGGAGTTTAAATTATCATACATACCTTTTTACCTTGTTACGCTATTAAGAGCCCCGAAATTGGTTCTTTTTGCATGCATAATGAGGCTTTATTGCACTATTCTGAAGTAAAATATAGTACCTAATATGTTTTCAATGAAAGAAATTCCAGGGATGTAGAAAGAATCTTATTTTTTTAGGGTCTATTGGGGATTACTTAAATTAGGAGGGGGCAGTCACATTATAAAATTTTATAGCTACCAAAATAATAGAGGGCTGCATTCGGGGGTGGGCAATTAAGCCAGGTTCGAAACGTTAACTAATATTGCGCTTAGAATGACTACGATCTCGGCAGTAAGCTGGTCAGCTTCGCTGTCACTACTTTCAGTACTGCTTCCACTGGCTTCATACGAATTAGATTCGGACGTTTCTGTTATTGCGGGACTTTCAAGATTTGCCCGTTCACTTTCCACTTGCAAACGTGTTTTTGGCCGCTCTGAAATCTTTTTAGCAAGCGCAGGAATTCTTATTGGCGATACAGCAACATGCATTACTTTCCGTTTTTTCGAGATTTGAACTGACTTGCTTCTAAAATGTACCTGTTTGCTTAGGCATGCCTTGTCACATACCTGTGACTGAACTTCTACTGTTAAAGGTTCAGGCAGTTCATCATGCTCCTCCTCAACAACTTCCACGGCTTCAGGCTCGGACTTTTCGGTTGAAGGCGTACCGCCGCTGGCTGCAAATATTTGGCGATGTCTTTCTGCCTTGCCCTTTTTTCGCTGAACACTCATTTCGTAAAGCTTAGTATTGTCTACCCAGTTGACATGCAAATTTATGAGGTGCAATATTAGGATTCATCCGGGCTCGAACGGTACTCATCTTGTATTGTAGATAGTTTTCCGTATCTTTTTCCAGGTCAAAATGACCTTCGCAGCAGTACATGGTCAACGTCGACTAATTTTACATCCCGTCGAGCTGCGTCAAACCACTTTTTACGTGGTGCTGCAGCTTTTGGAACACTCACAATTTTTTTTTATGGTGTCATACTTGACGTACTTGTAGATTTTGGCACAAAACACCACTTTCTGTTCGACATTTAATACCGTCAAAGTTCACAGAATTTAACAATAATCTGTCGTACCAGCTCTCACTACTCAAAACCGAGGCGTTGTTGTGAGAATGGTAAATGCAGCGGACCAGCTAGCGAGGTGTGTCTGGCTACTGACGTCACGCGGTCTAGTCTCGCGCACAGGTACGTTTTCCAGCCTCGCGCCGATCCTTGATTTTGAAATGATTTTAGTCTACGTAAATATCAATATTTTTGCTCATTTTTTTTATCGTTTTTTAATAACAGAACTCCTCGATTTAAGTAAAAATCACAAAATGGCGAACCTTCCTATTGTTTTATTCAACCTAGAATCGTTAAATAAAAAAGTGCCGTAGAAGGCGAAACTTAAACCCCAAAAATGGAAATGCCATTTTTCTGTCGAATATTTATAATAGGTAAATATCTATCTATAACTTATGAGCATCTTTGTTAACAAGATTTTTTCCTACTTTGATTTATCTAAGCAGGCTGGGTTAAATATAATTTCAAAAAAGGTAACTTCTGTTTTTCTTCACTGATTCTGCGTCATCTTGGGTCCATTCAAAAGAGCTACGCAGTTGAAACTCTGTCGCCAGTTATTTTTTAGCTTCTAGATGGCGGTCTACGAAAATAATTTTCCTAGATTTTATGAAAAGAACTAAATAATCTATCATATATCGTATTTTTGACAAATACCCTTTTTGTAGGTGGCTGCGGCACAAGGCCAAAACACCACCAACAGCACGACCGTTCCCCCTCCACCAGCGGCGGGCGAATGGTTGACATGACTAGGTTAGGACCACCCACCATGGTGCCTGTGACCGCTGACAGCACCGCCTTCCTCGCGAACATCACCGAGAAAAAGAGAGCTGGGGGTGGAGCGGCGAACAAGCAGACGCTCTTCAAATGCAAGAAGTGCAATTTCAAGTAAGTGAGCGAGATCTCGTATTTTAACGACTTCACTATGAATTTCAAAACATTTCCTTTGCATTTAATGATGATGGTCATGATTTATATGATCTTTCAAGATTATTTTTTCTGACTGACGTTATCCGAGTATCGATGAAATTGACAGCTTTGACGTTCTAGAGCGGCAAAGTAACATAGAAAGTGATATGCGAAAAAGGTGACACGCCACCTATGAGTAGTTTTCCAATCGCGGCATCTGTGAGAGAGAGTATAATTTACTTCTAAGAAGCCAATCAAGGATATCGAACCACATAGCGGTCTCATGCCGTCAGCATTTGACGATCGTCACTGGCTGAATAGGATCTGTTACCCTATCGTCTCTGTGATATTAACCAACCGTACTACAACGTTATTCCATGCTTTTTAGCAACCCTCAGTACGGTATAGGTCTTGTGATTTTTAGACCCAAAGCAAATGAGAAAAAATGGGTTTATGTAAAAGCTAAATATTGTTAAACTACCGGTTCCCAGCGTCTCTGAATGACAGTGTTGGCTTCTTTGAAGCCAAAGACATAGGCGACATTTAGTATTGTTGTCACTCAGGGGAGTACTGTATACATGTGGTTTTGTTCGAAACGACGGAAAGCAAACAGATCCTATCCAGCCTATGGAAAATGATATCTGAAAAAATAAGCGTACAGGTGTGTCTATTAAATATCAGCGTACCCTAAAAATGATTCAAAAAGGTTTTAATATGATTTAAGGAAGTTCAAAATTATCCATACCTGAGGTCAGATGGTCAAGTGGTCAAAACAGTAGCTCAGGCAACGACATTGCGCCTGAAAATTATAAACAAACGTGCTTTAAACTGGGCAACCCAAGCCCTTGATAACCTAGACAAAAACGGTATCAGTGCGCTAATGTAGGGGTAATGCTTGTTGTCCAGTATCCTTTTTAACGTTAATTTATACAAAGTGATTCGTTTCTATATACACTGAAAACCAAATACCACTGGCATCGTAATGTGTACGTGAGAGAAGCGTGCAATACGTGTGTTAGAAAAAGATAGAATCACCTCGTTGCTTAGCAACCTGAGTAGGAGATCGCGGATGCCATCGGCGCACTCTTTCTAACATACATATTGTACGGTGCCCCGTTTGAAAGCATTGGTTGAAATGTTTCACAACATTTCGAAACAAAATGTTTCAATCTGTCTGAGACCGGCCATAAAGTTGCAACTATTTTGAAAAATTAACGACGTGACGTTTGCATGATGTTTTTGGGGTTTTTCTAATAGGTTGTAGATAAAATGGGAACATAATGGCAGTAGGATGATACTGGAATTCGGAATGATATCAATAAATATGCACTGCAAAGTTGTTCTTTATTTTAGAAGGGCAAGAAGCTAGTGCTAGCAGATATAGGTATATGAGTAAGCTAAACAAGTAAACTTAAGTATCTAGCTCGCAAGTCAGGCAGGTTATACACATATATTTACTGAGGTGTTAAATTGTCAAAAAGTTGTGATTCGAGCATTAAGTGTAAACGCAGTACTATTATAATTTACAAAAGTAACGTCAGCTCTGGCTCAACTCCATTTCCAATATGAGCTTTCAGGTTGATTCACATATGTCGGAATGTTTGGAAGAGCGCCCTTATTTCATATGAAAGTTAGGTTTATTTTTAGTGATAGGCTATCTTATAATACTGTGTGTTGGCCAAAAACCTCTAAAATGTCGCTGGAACTACAGAGTTGTACTGGTGTACGTGGAAAACATTATTTGTTAGAGGACACTACCTAATATCACAGTTCAATAGCTTTTTTCTTCCGTAAAACTTCTTTCCGGCATGATTTGAACCGCAAATCTTTGATTACGGCTTAACAATAAAAACCTTCTATTGTTTAAATTGTACAAACATCATTTATAATGATAATTGCAACGTCCTTACATTTTGTTGGTCAAACAAAAAGAGAAGCGCTAATACCCCAATACATACAACAGTGGCTACAAATAGCTTGAATAAACTAAAGAATTGATAGTGTATAAATATACGAATACCTGCATATATTCGAAAAAAAAACGACGTACTCCATAATATTTACATAATTATTTATAGTTCTCTGGCAGTTATTGAAATAAACTTACTATACTGTGCGCAACGTTCAAATTCTGGATTATGAAAATGTCGCTTTTTGGAAAAATTGCAATAAATGATAGGTCTGGTTTCTTTTACTTTGACCTTGATTGCGTCTATATTGGAGTGACCAACGTACCTGCTCAAAGTCCGATACGAAAGAAATTCGTTTAACTTTGACTACAAATGGTCGAACGAAGAGCGGTGGATCAGAAAGACTACCAAAGAATAAGTTCCAAAGGTCGTCAGATTTTAAAACTTTGACCATCAATTTTGCGTCTCATCAGCTGTGTAGAAATATTAGTAGAGTACGATTTCAATTTTTCTACTGCCTTATTTAGGAAATTGACTTTTCCTATACAGGTCGTTCTGAATGTTGGCAATTTCTTTCCTTTTACTTCCTACGCCACTGGGTGAGGAAGAACTGTAATGTCTAATACTTTCGAAAATGAGATATTATTGTTTTTGTATGTTATATGACATGTACATCACGAAAAATTTCCGTATAAACTTAGAATGCTAAAAAAACGTTTTAGATCTGCCTAATCCTGTTGTCTAAGCTCACCGCCCGACGAACCGTTCAGGCTGACTAATTTATCCGTACTGTAGCGCACAAAACGTATGCATGGCATGAACGATAGGATGGGCAGTAATTACCGGTAGGGTGAGGAAGGAATGTCTATGAACTAATTGTATGGGCCTGTTTGACTGACTCCTTTCTCAGAGGGGTCTAGTTTGCTGAACATAATCCTTTATGAACTTGATCCGTGTAATTTCTTTGTTTACATGTTCGTAACTAACTATTTTCTCATAGGATTCATGAACTGATGACGGCGTTGGTAGGAAGTGCAAAATCAACTAACTTTTTCCATTTTCTTGAAACAAATATGTTTGAAATAATAAAGGTGATGTCCGGTAAAATAACAGCGAAATAGTAAAAACGAAATTGAAGAAAGTTACTCCCTTTTTATATATATATCGAAGCAGCCGCGCAGGCCTAAATGCCGGAACACCGCGGCTGCTATGATGATGCCAAAGAAATTTTATTAATACGATTTTTGAACTGCCTAAGGTTAGTAGAACTGGGAAAAGCTTCCTCTTGTAGATTGTTCCACAATCTCGTCACCCTCGGGACAAAGGAGCGGTCGTATCGGCCAGTTCTGGATGTACGAAGTTCGACCCGGTTAGGATGGGACGCCAAAGTCAGGCGGGTCTGTCTGGCAGGCACATCGCGCGGCGGCATCATGGAATAGAGCTCTAAGGAGTTTTAACACCTGTACTGCATAACATGAATATTTAAGGGCATTCTATAGCGACTATTCGACAATAATAACACGTGCTTAACACCGTTTCGAATGCGTGTAATAAACGTAAAACCGATTTGCGTGCATGGAGTAACAGCACGTATCGGTCTTTCGTCGCGGTTAGAGTCAACAAATGAAAACATCGTTAAAACATTATTCAATATTCCCACTTATCAATAGCAGAAAAAGTATTATCGTCTTGGCCGCGATTTCAGATTACCTTTAATAACTATGCAACCAATTGTATGCTTTGCAAGTTGTTACTCAGCCATAAAAAGCGTACATGCAGAGTAGAATCTGGTAACCTTGGACCCTCGTTTGTATGTACAACCAAAAGTAAAAATAATTACGCCGTTCCGACCATTACATGGAAGAATGCAACAAGCTTTCCTAAACAAAATTATCTTTGAGCTTTGCCCAATCCTCTTAGAACCTTTATAAAGGGTGTCCCAAATTACAAGCAATATTTGAATCATAAACGTGTTTAGCTGGACGAACTTTACCTGACGCTATCCCTGCAATTAACCCATACAAAAATATAACCACGAACATAAATAAAATAAATAAACATCAATGAGGCTAATATAAAAAATATTAGACATAACTAATCTAATTACTCTAATAGGCGAATGTACAAACTGTTTTATTGGCAGGAGTGAAAGATGATCTTTTTAAATTTGAAACTCTGTTGTCAAACGTTAAATATAGAGACAATTATAGAGGAATCTCATTAAAAAGAAATGGATTTATTAGTTTTTCTTTAAAAAACGACTTAAGTATATAACATAGTGAACATTTTTTATACAATTTTGTAAACAACCTTCTTTCTGAACAGACGAATAAACACGATCATAAATTATCTATTAGTCTATAACAATAATTTTTTGTAAGCGTTTTATAGATATAGATCTAGAAAATTGATGGTTCTCTCATATTCGTTTGTTCCTTGTTTTTAGAAAGATATTCCATATACCCACTCAAAACTGCATATTGTGCCACATTATACTGAAGAAGATCGATAAGCGGAGTGGATAAAGAAATAATCTACTCCTTTGTCTGGCAGGTTAGGGAAATCTATTATTAATTTAGTTCAGCATACACCAGACAATAAATAAAAATTTCATGATATACGCCTACTTCTTTATAACTATGTCCACGTTGGTTTACTATTATTTTCAGTTATTTAGAAAATTGTGGTTTCCAATGCATATGCCAGGTTTTAATCTTTGACCAATACCTGAAGCCATATGAACAGAATGAATAATTTTACTGCCGTTTCGACATGTGCCTTAAAAATAGAAAAGAACTAGAAAAGTTTGGCGGTTTTAATGCCATGAATCTCTGTTACGATATTTGCCTATCTCTATGAAGTTGTTAAAATTAATAGCCCAGGAATTCGCTTTCGCAATAGTCGATATCATATTCCTAGCGGAAGGATAGTCTTGCACTTTCGCAGATAAATGAAGCAGCCATTCTGTCAGTGGTGCATTCACATCAAGTAATCTGAACTGACACGAAGATACTAGGACGTAAAAAGTCGCTGTAATCAACTATATCTTTGCAGAGCTGAAACATTCATCCTGTTCAGCAAAAATGCTGACCCATCAGCTTTCTTGTCGTATTTGCAATAGTTGCTACCATATCGCAATGTATGTATAAAAAAGAAATGAATGAACTCAGACTGCAGACCAAGTGATATTAAAGGCATTGTACGAGCTGGGACGACTTTATGAATGAGTATCGTGTTCAGCTCAAGCCAATACATATCAGTGCGATAAATGCATCAACTAAAAGACGGTGTCATTTAGCTTGATTAAGTACTTCGCGGATTCATCTACGTACAATATTTCCCATACGTACAAGCTCTAGGCTGGATTGTAGTATTTTACTCCCTACGCCATTGAGCGAGGATGCGATTGCGAAAACTTTCGAAAATATGTTTTTGCCTTTCACTTATTTCCGTCGGTCTGACTGTCTCTCTGTCCGGTAATCCTTCGCCACTCTATAATAAGGAAAGTACGGCTCGAATGTAGATGAAATTTTTACACAAGTTCATTACTACATCCGTATCAGTATGATTTTTGAAAAAAATTATGGGTAAAATATTCGGGGGGAAAGTTGTATTTTTTGATGTAAGCAAATTTATACGCTCCCAACTCCGTAATTCTACTCACCTATTAGCCATATTTCACATATCATAGGTTTATCTGTACATTTGTCTTTAAAACTTAGAAAGATAGAGGAATTTTCGTCTCCTCTCTCCTTCTACTATCTGGGCGTAGTAGCACCTGATATAACGGTCTACTGATGATGGCGTTGCATAGGAGTCAAACTGCTAGACACCATTTACTTGATTTGCACCACAATAAAAATTTCTTATTGAGAATTCTTGATATACAAATGTTATTTGAGAAGTACGCAACTCAAAAAATCAATATTTTGTTGTTTGAGCCGTCTCGATCAAATGGTCATAAATTCGACTGAAGTAGCTATGGAACCGTTTGAACTTTTTGTTTTTTGCAAATACAATGGAATTGATTTTTTTTTAAAATACTTTCTTAATTTCAGCTATTGAATGTGCTTAATATAACATTGGAAATCGAATCACCATTTCACAAGTTATCGAGCATATAAGACAATAAATTCTACTGAAATACTACAAAATCGAATGTTAGTGCATGTGGATCGGTTTAACTTAATATAAATGTTTTATAATTGTCTAGTCAAGATATTTATTGCACAATTATTATTCGTGACACTGAAAGACTGCTCAAATGTTATCGCATTTTAAGACGTAATTTATAAAAATAAAAAGAATGTTAATAGTAATCCATGGAGTGTACATGTTATCGATAACGACACCGTTTATCTTATAATAGGTAGATAACTTGATAGAATATCAATTGATCGAATGCTTCAAGGCTTAAAAGTTAAAATTTTTCTTCGAAAGAGAACAATGGTCATGAGTTGCGACATACTTGAACGTTGAACATGTTTGCATGTTTGATACGATTGTAATTTTTGATTTCTTCCTGTAAGCAACTTGAGTTTCTGCAATTCCGATAAATAATGTGATTGTCAAGTAGTTTGCAAAATATTCACAAACGTCGCATTCTGTTTATATTAAACCAGAGTATTTGCATGGATCATAATAACTATTCCAAAAAAAAACACTATTTTAGAAAAAATTGAACAGACAGATTACACGACGGAATACTATTTTCAAAACTAAATGAAAATCTCCAGCCAGATACAAGCAGCAACCTCACAAATGTTAGTAATTATTTCTCATTATGCACTTTTCGGTAACAATATTTTGAAATTGGCGATTTTTTATAATAGCAGAATTGACCGCTGTATCAAATTGAATATGTAAGACCTTATTTTAGAGGTCTCTTTATCATTTAAAATTCTTATCTGAACCACTTTTACCAATATTTGATAGTATTTGGAATCCACACGAAAAAAAAATGTTTTCAATTTTGACGTTTAATAAAAAGATAGCTGACAAAAACTTTTGTATCTCTCAATGAAGGATATTTTCATTTACCATCAAGAACATAGTATATTGTAAATTCATTGTGAATCTCATCTATATATTTTTTCCGAAACTCTAGAAATTCTGGTGTAAGGGTACAACATATTGTTGAGTATTGTACGATAGTCCTGCATCATCCTCTATAGTATTAGTCAATTATACCTTTTATATTCCACAAAAATATGTATGATCGAATATCGCAAAGAAGTGTGGGTGCGGATCCGGTCTGAGGTGTCTGTGAAATGCATATAGATACACAGTATTGTTACAATAGAAGAATGACCGTAGCAAAAATATCCTTCGCTGTCATGGGAATGATTCAGTCAAAGTGATTGCGCCCATTTCTTATTTATTCGATTCACCCATTGATCCAGTTCTTAGGATAATTTGAGTAAAATTAAGTATTTGAAATTTTGGATAATACCTACAAATGTAGCAGCAGGGTTTATGTAAGACGTGCTCAAATTAAAGATTCATATTCAAAGTATGTCCTAGAAAATATTCATTACATTACATATTTGAGAATCTAATTTAAGTGAAAACTCGTAATACCATTATCTATTTTTCCTTATTTGAAAATATGTACCTCCATGTCACAAATATCTTAAAATGATTTCGAATGGTTTTTGCTTCTCATAAAAAAGTCTGGTCAAATTTGAATTCTGCTTTAAAAATAGACTTTGTACTGTGGTATTATTCTCACTTTAATGTTATCTTTGCCCAAACAGTATTCACAATTATTCAAAATAATTAGTACCTACTTATTCAAAATATCTAAGCATTGAAATATACTAAGTGACATATAAATCCGAACACCCAGTTTAAATGGTTTTATTTTAATAAAATTTTGTATAAGTACTTAATGAAGCATAATAAGTAAATGATAAAAATTTCAAAATGATTGCACTGCTTTAAAGCCCTTAGACCTTTAATAATGTGTGGATGCACCCTGATGTGCTACGCATTCTCCAACGCGCCTAGGCATGCTTCTGATGAGGTGGTCAATGTCCTCCTGTGGTATCTCATTCCAGGCAACCACCAACTCCCCTCGAAGCGCTTCTAGAGTCTGAGGAGGACGTTGCAAATTGAGCAATCTCCTACCCATCATATCCCACACGTGCTCAATTGGGGATAAGTCGGGAGATCTTGGTGGCCATGGTAACAATGTGACATCATTATGTTGAAAGAAGTCTACTGTGACTCTTGCAACATGTGGTCGGGCATTATCTTGTTGGAAAGTTGGATCTGCCAGGGTGTCAGATAGGGTAAAAGATGGGGTTCTAGAACTTCGTGTATATAACGCTGCGCATTCATGTCACCTCTGATGAAGATTAAAGGTGACCTGGAACCATAAGCTATAGCACCCCAAACCAGAACTGCAACAGTGTGATGAACATGTCTTTCAACAAAAACTGTGGATTCCTCCTTTCACCACGTCGCCTTCTAACCCTGGCACGACCATCGTGCATGCCTAAACAAAATCGAGACTCGTCACTAAAGACAATACTGTTCCATCCTGATCCCAGAGTGACCGTTGTCTGCACCACTTAAGGCGATTACGTCGGTGTTCTCGAGTTAAAGGGAGGACTCAGTGTGGCCGGTATGAAAACAAGCCAAAACTTCTCATTCGTCAGTAAACACTTCGCATGCCAATAGTCTTCCGCGTTCTGCAAACCATTCATTTGCAATGGACCTGGTAGTGGAGAAACGGTCCCTGAAGGCCAATAATCTTAGGCGGCGATCTTCACGGTCTGTTGCTCTACGGCGGCGTCCAGTGCCCCTTGCTCTTTGCGTACGGCCTTCTCGAAGCCATGCCTGACAACAAATAACCACAGTGTCTACGCTTCTTTGCACTCTAACTGCAATTGCCCGAAAAGAAAGTCCAGCTTCCCGAAGTCCCACTATACGGCCCCTATCAAACTCACTAAGTTGACAAAATCGTACAGGTCTCCGTACTCTAGGCATCGTAACCGATCGTAAAGGATGTCAAGAACCAAAATCCGCCAACGTTGATTCTTTACTGCGGCTGAAATATTCATTTTTAGAGCGTTAGTGAATTAAAAAAAAGCAGTATAAAAACCGGAATGTCCAACTGATAAGGCTGAAAATTTTTTCACTTGTTATTTACAGTAAGATAAATACATTCACCAACTTTTATTAAAATAAAACCATTTAAACTGGGTGTTCGGATTTATATGTCACTTAGTATAGTATTGCTACTTCGGATGAACGTATGTACATACATCCATAATGTTCATAAGTACGTGTCACAAAAATCATTTACACTTGTTTACCGAAAACTTGGATATGAATCATTCATGTTTTGTATTCTTGTTTTCCAGCTTTTATTTGTCTTTAACACAGAAGACTTGTCAGGATAATGACGTTCATTATTATGCGTTGTATAATGGAACTGTGAGAATTTCAATGACAGATTAATGACGGAGTTGGTAAATTAATAGGAATTAGTCACATTCCGATGACTTCTGATGAATTCTCAAAATTCCGAGATTAATCGCAATAAAGAGTATCATTATGATGTAAGCTACAGTGTTGCACTCTTCAGATTTCCAACATCCTGAATTACCTACTGCAATTATACTGATTTGAACACTTAGACACACTAACGCGGTTTTTGAATAATAACAAGTTGTAAACAATGATTTCAAATATGTATTCAAAAGTACACAAAATATGACATTGTCGCTTGAGAGAAGTTTGGCCTTCAAAAAACGGCTAGCTGTAGGCCAATACTTAAACTAAATTAGCTCTTCGTTTCTTTTTTGGGAACAAAGTTTCAGTCCCCTGAGAAAACGTCCGAGTCGTAACTCATTTGAAAGAAACCTGGATGGACCATTTTGGGACCAGAAGCTTTTTTTGTGTTGACCAATTCCACTCCTGTTATTAAGCTGGGACATTGTCATGTTTCAAACTTTTGTGTCGTGCTGGTTCTAGTACGTACTAGTCATTGTTATGTAACTTTAAAAACATTTTTAAGAATAATACATATCGTCGGCTTACTGACAAAACCAGATAACTTACATTTTTATCCTTCTGAAATATGAGGATTTTAAACTTTTTTTTCTTTTTTTGGATGTATACATTTTAGCTATTTGACTCTTCCGATTCCGGTTCTTCCTAGACATCAGGAACCTCAGCTGCTGGTCCTGGAATAAGATCCTTTGCTTCTTTGGAGGTCGGACTTGCAATAATAATGGTATTCCTCAGTAATAACATTACTTCTACAAAGTTTAAGCAAAACTTTCTTTTTCTTCATTGATAATGGTCTAAACGCATCTGTTATTTTAATTTGGCTTGGCAATATAGGTTGTCTTTTACCCAAAACGTTTATTTCTGTATAATCGGATGTATGATCGTACCTATCCAAGGCTTGGATTTAGTATACTCGTACTTGGATCACTTGATTTTACGACAATAAACCTTTTCCACCGAGTTATTCTTTAATTTATCTTCAATTAGAATTTTTGATGTCATCTAAATTTAAAAAATCTTTATGCTTCAACTCTTTAATGTTATACGGTTTTTTATTCGATCTAGACGTTCTGGCCATGCGGAAAATTGTCAACCAGTCCTGAATTGAATAAACAGGAACGAACTTCTGTGCCTTTTCAATTGCACTGTGCATACCTTCGACTTCCATAAAGCTGTGCCCAGTTTCTGAAAACTCTTGCACTATCACTTGAATGTTCAAAAGAGCACCAATATTTTGATTGCGATTTTGACCGCTACACGTGTCCGAAAACAACGGTAGTTCGCTGACATGAGAAGATAGCTGATTTATGTAATTGTATAAGCAGGCGCCAATTTCTAAGCTACCTCTCTTTCTATTTAACTCTGTTCACGTGTAGAAAAATGCTGAGTTGGAAGGGGCCACTACACTAACTGCCACATAACTGAAATAGCCACTGATATCGATTCACACCGGTATCTACAACAAAAACCCGAAATGCGGTACTTGTCTTATTCTGACTCTAAAATTCTAATATCAGCACTAAAACAAAACTGTTAAAATGAGA